ACCTGGGCCCCCTCTATTCCAAATTTCCGGATCCGCCACTGTATTTTGAAAATGTAATGTGGAAATGAATGTTAATTGTATACTCCTCAAATTCAATTAGATAGGCATACGGCTTATTAAAGACATAAGGCGCCAGAGCTTCCGCGGGGCCTTAATTCGCCCCTGGACCCCATCGGGGACCTAGGCCACTCTCTCACCCCAACCAAGGTTTGGGCCTACGGCCCAAGGCTTTTTTATTTTAGATTTCTTCTTTAACTGTAACTGTAATTTTAGAAAAACCTTTGCAAATCAAGGTTAAATTAGGCCTTCTAAAAAAACTGTGTTAATCGCTAAAATAAGTCAATATGTGACAAATAAGGAATGTCTACAGACTACATCCATCACAACATTTTATCATGTATAGGCCTAATATATCATTGACCATATTTACCAGTAGGCATAGGCCTAGTATCTTACCTGCTTTAACATTATAAACAAAATTATAATTTGCTCATGATCTTAATTTTCTTAATAGGAGTAATTTGACTTTTTTTTATTTGCAAATGTCTTTCTAAAATTAAAGTTAAAGACGGGGCAGCATTTAATATTATGCTTTAGAATATTCTTTTATGGCAATACTTGCAGTATTTGGCCGACTGGGCTTCACACAAGGATTATTTTCTGGGGGAAAAGGTGTAAAAATGGGCGGTTACGCCCCTCTTCACCCAGGTTTTGAATATTCAAAAATCTGCATCTTATTCACCTTCCCCAGATTTTAGTCAAACAACTTTTTTCTCTCTTATAAAAAGAATCAGTTCTACAACATATCAACATTTTTTCTCCTCTGATCGTGACTTTAAACGTATTTCATTCATTCCTTCATTAAAACTTATTTCATTCATTTTGCAAATAATCTGGTCCCACTACCTCGCAGCCTAGCGAAAGGCCGCCGAAGGCTGTCTTTTCGCGAGTGAATAATAGTTTAAATACTGTATCACGGCATCACGGTTAGAACGTGTTAGCGTGTGCTATATGACTAACAAAATTATCTTTACATGGGAAATGTGCAACAAACAATGACTATAGATCAAATTCGAAATGCTGTCGGAAACATGTCTGCATTGTATCTCACAGATAGATGAACCTAAACAGTAGACTCAATAACATGATGAAAACCCAAAAAATTAGTAAAACTTTTATGAAGAATGGTCGGACCATGGTCAGACTATAGCCTAAATAGGGAGGTCGGGCCACTAACAGTGATTGGTCCCTTCTAAATATAACTTCATTATGTAGTCAATATAGATGCCCTTTTAAGAGCATTTAGGGGTCTTTTGTTTTTGAATTTCGAACGATCGGAAAATGATTCCTCCTACCATACCACCCTCCGCCTGTTGCTTTGCACCTTGTTTGGCCTTTATTCCCACTACCAAAATCTAGAAAAGTCAAAGAAGCAGTTCGGATCCGTAAGATTGATCAAGGTGGCCATAACTAAGTCACATTATAATGACCTCACTCATCGAAAAGTGAATGACCCAATTAATTCAAAGGTACATTAGCTAGAAGAAAGTGACCGAAGCAGTTGTTGAAACCGTTGCTAAGGTGTAAGCAACTAATTGGTTCAACAATGTAGATAATTTTCTACTAAATATTTTCAATACCCCACTTACGACACATGTACTCATCTTCTCCAAGGTCTTTGCAATTTTCTTGGCCATCGCAAAGTTCATCTTCGTGTAAACTCTTGGGAGTATTATGTGTATCACAATATAAAGCATCTGAAATTATTAATAAGCAGACCATTAATTTATTAATATTTAAAAAATAGACCTATGTGAAATGGTGGTGCCAGTGAAAAGCTGGGAAGGGTAGGGCCCCGTCGAAGAGACCTCCCACTGCGGTTAAGAAGCTTACCATAATTTGACGGAAAGGAAAAACTTAACATCCTATGTATTTTTCAAATTATGAGAATCTAAAAAAAGTAACCTCATTGGAAACAAGTTGTTTTTTACGACTTTCATTGGTTCCTATTAGACAACCAGCATAATTTTTTTCCCGTTTTATTTTATTTTTTTTCTTTTGTTTTGCTTTTCAAAACAGTAGCAGTTGTTTTTGTTAGGTTTTTTTTTGTAATTATTATTTTACATACTTTTTTCCTACAGTATTATTTTTCCACTGGGTTATTCCGCCTGGAACTTTGGTCACTTTTATTAATAATAAAAATAATAATAATAATATGTCGTTCTTATATAGAACAAGGCCTCAAGCGCTTCACATTACTTCCCCGGTCATTGGATCAAACACATATGGAACACATTGAAACACCAAATTAAATTAGTAAATGAAATTATATTATCATTCCATAAATTGCAGCTAGTAATCAGCGCAGGTTGTGTTGGAACCTACCAGGTACCCACTTGTACTCCTGGGTGGAGAG